GACAGGGACAGTACAATTAAACATTGCAACCAAACAGGTGGCCGATGTCCAAGTATATAAGGCTTGTAGCCATGGGCTAATTGGCAGCCTTCGTCTCTGGTTAGGCTTTTAAAAGGTGTTAGCATAAAGGGGGAGGGAGGTTAGTAACGACACACAGATGCATTAAAAAAAAAATGGAAGTTAAAACGAAAATAAATGTACAGTACGAGCCAGTTTAGTGCTCACACTCTTATAATCTGTTACTTTAAACAGAATTTAACACTGAAATAAAATGAGGTGTTTATGCTTCCATGTTATACATTGAATTAAAATATATATATATATATATATATATGTATATGTGTGTGTGTATACAGGTGCTGGTCATAAAATTAGAATATCATAAAAAAGTAGATTGATTTCAGTAATTCCATTTAAAAAGTGAAACTTGTATATTATATTCATACATTACATACAAACTCATATATTTCAGATGTTTATTTTGTTTAATTTTGATGATTACAAATGACAACAAATGAAAATCTCAAATTCATCATATCAGAAAATTAGAATATTGTGAAAAGGTTCAAAATTGATGGCCCCTGGTGCCACACTCTAATCAGCTAATTAACTCAAACCACCTGCAAAAGCCTTTAAATGGTCTTTCAGTCTAGTTCTATAGGCTACACAATCATGGGGAAGACTGCTGACTTGACAGTTGTCCAAAAGACGACCATCGACACCTTGCACAAGGAGGGCAAGACACAAAAGGTCATCGCTAAAGAGGCTGGCTGTTCACAGAGCTCAGTGTCCAAGCACATTAATAGAGAGGCGAAGGGAAGGAAAAGATGTGGTCGAAAAAAGTGTACAAGCAAGAGAGATAACCGCACCCTGGAGAGGATTGTGAAACAAAACCCATTCAAAAATGTGGGGGAGATTCACAAAGAGTGGACTGCAGCTGGAGTGAGTGCTTCAAGAACCACCACACACAGACGTATGAAAGACATGGGTTTCTGCTGTCGCATTCCTTGTGTCAAGCCACTCTTGAACCACAGACAGCGTCAGAAGCGTCTAAAGAGAAACAGGACTGGACTGCTGGTGAGTGGTCCAAAGTCATGTTCTCTGATGAAAGTAAATTTTGCATTTCCTTTGGAAATCAAGGTCCCAGAGTCTGGAGGAAAAGAAGAGAGGCACTTCATCCACGTTGCTTGAAGTCCAGTGTAAAGTTTCCACAGTCAGTGATGGTTTGGGGTGCCATGTCATCTGCTGGTGTTGGTCCATTGTGTTTTCTGAGGTCCAGGGTCAACGCAGCCACATACCAGGAAGTTTTAGAGCACTTCATGCTTCCTGCAGCTGACCAACTTTTTGGAGATGCAGATTTCATTTTCCAACAGGACTTGGCACCTGCACACAGTGCCAAAGCTACCAGTACCTGGTTGAAGGACCATGGTATCCCTGTTCTTAATTGGCCAGCAAACTCTCCTGACCTTAACCCCATAGAAAATCTATGGGGTATTGTGAAGAAGAAGATGCAATACACCAGACCCAACAATTCAGAAGAGCTAAAAGCCACTATTAGAGCAACCTGGGCTATCATAACACCTGAGCAGTGCCACAGACTGATCGACTCCATGCCACGCCGCATTGCTGCAGTAATACAGGCCAAAGGAGGCCCAACTAAATACTGAGTGCTGTACATGCTCATACTTTTCATGTTCATACTTTTCAGTTGGCCAACATTTCTATAAATCCTTTGTTTTTATTAGTCTTCAGTAATATTCTAATTTTCTGATATGATGAATTTGAGATTTTCATTTGTTGTCATTTGTAATCATCAAAATTAAACAAAATAAACATCTGAAATATATGAGTTTGTATGTAATGTATGAATATAATATACAAGTTTCACTTTTTAAATGGAATTACTGAAATCAATCTACTTTTTCATGATATTCTAATTTTATGACCAGCACCTGTATATGTATATATATATATATATATATATATATATATATATATATATATATATATATATATATGTATATATATATATATATATGTGTGTGTATATATATATATATATATGTGTGTGTGTATATATATATATATATATATATATATATATATATACACACACATATATACATATATACATATATATATGTGTATATATATATATGTGTGTGTATATATATATATATATATATGTGTATATATATATATATATATATATATATATATATATATATATATATATATATATGTAAAAATAAAGAACATGTTTCCATTTTAAAGTTGTTGTTTTTTTAACTTGAGAACAACAATCGTTCAGTTTGGTTTATAGATAATTTCCTGATTCCAATATTTTCTCAAACCCCTGAACGGATGGTTTGTTATTTTCTTTCTTTTTTCTGTCTTAATGTTGGCAGTGGGCTTTAGGCTGCCCTGCAAGGCTTTAAACCTGGGTTTAACCGGAGACTAAGCCATTCTCAAGCACATATCAAGGAGCTCATTTTGAGCCTGGATCCAGATTTATTGTTGATTCTGTTCATGGTGGAGAATCCTGCTTCACAGCAGCAGGTTGAGCCAAACATCCTCTAAATGTGCAGGGTCATCTTTGAGCACGCCATTTCACTTTTCTTTCACCAGTTCACCGCAGTTCTTCCAGCAGTCCACACTTTCTCTGCTCTCTTTTTCTCATCGTCTTCTCCTTCTTTCTTTTACCAGTTAATCTATAGAGATATAAGCAGTTGCACGTGCAACGTTTCAGTTGGATCAATCTACCTGAAGTGGGTCGGGGGCATCGCTTACTGAACGAACCTCCTCACTGTCAGTAGAACCGAATGTGTAGCTTAATAAAGTAATAAATGCAAACCTAACTTCAGGTAAGTTGTGCAGGTGTTCCTTGTCAGCTCACTCATTAGCGGCCATGTTTGAGCGCCATCCTTCTGCTCGTCTCTGCAGGTTTGTCGACTTCCTGGAGCAAATGGGCGCCGGCAGCGAGATGTTGCCGGTGTTTGACGCCATCGTCCAAAGGTTCCTGAACGCGGATCGATACGCAAACGACATCCGATACGTGAACTACTGCATCAGATGTGTAAGTCAGGCTCCCGCCCCCCCTGCCCCGCCCCCTGCTCCGCCCAGGTCCTCACCTAAACCGTTTCCTCCAGGCCAGCCATTACCCGGACCCCGCGGCGCTGTACGGCCACGTGTTCAGTAAAGGCGTGGGCAGCAGGACGGCGGCGCTGTACGTGGCCTGGGCTCAGCAGCTGGAGAAGAAGGGGATGAACCAGCAGGCTGATGGCGTCTACCAGAAGGCTGTGGAGAACCAGGCCCAGCCTGCAGACCTGCTTCTCCACGAATACAGGTGATCCCAGCAGAACCAGTCCCACCAGTTTAATCTGTCTGCAGTTTTAAAGGGTTTCAGGTTAAAAAGAAGATCCATGCAGATTAATGGAAGTTTAACTCCTTCTAAAGGATTAAGTTCATTTAAACGGTGATTAATATTAACTCTGACCTGCAGCCAGTTCCAGAGCAGAACCAGAACCCAGCCTCCGCCGCCCGGTAAGGCCCGACCCGCTGTGCTAGATGGACCAAGGTCGTGTCTGATCTGCTGCTGATGGGCTTTTGTTCTGTTTTCTGGGTCAGGCGCTCCGCTCCCTCTGCAGAACTCACAGCAGACCAACCAGATCCAGGCGTCCCACCAAAGACAGGGACAGAACAAGGTTCCTGTCAACGTCTTTCACTGTCCAGCACCATTAGCACCAGTATGAACCCACTAACCCTCCCCTGGTTCCCTGCAGGCGCCTGCTGTCTCTCCATCACAACCAGCTGCACGCAGAACCATCGTCACGTAAGTCTGCTGCAGTTAGCCCCGCCCACCTTCTTTATAACAAGTCGATTCATTCAGCGTGGTTTGGTTTGAAGGTGTGAGTCAAAGGTCAAAAGGTCAAATTTAGAAAAACTATAGGTCAACAGAGCGAAAAAAAAAGAAAATGAAACCCAGAACTAAACTTACACTTTTTTTTATTACCAGTTTTATTTTCAATATTTCTTTGAAGTTTTTTCATTTCCAGATCACTTTCTTCACTTCCTGTCCAATCCAAGCGCTCGCTCTGGACCAATAAAGATGTTGTTGCTAACGTCCTCAGTAGTAATCGAGTAAAAGTATTAATACTCATAGTCTAATCTTACTCAACTAAAAGTAAAAGTTACTCCATCAAAAATCTGCAGAATACTGAAAGTACTGATGTACTCGCTATATTCAAGTATTCAAAAGTACAAATTACATTTTGTAATATTAACATTTCTGTCTAATTTTCAGAGTAATTTTAACCTGTAACTTTCAGAAACCACCTGATGTATTACTGTATAGAACCGCATGCTATAGATTCTACACCACCTGGAAAGAACTTCAGCATAAAAGAACTAAGATTTAAAAACCAACCAACAGGAAAACAGGAGAGTCTTTATTCTCCTCGTTATTTAATGTGGAATATAATTCTAGATTAAATCTATAAGAAACTAGAACTCTGCTTCTAGACTCGTCCTACTGAACAACTTGGCCTCATGGCAACAAGTAACTTAATAAAATGATAAACTAGTAACATTACCAGAATAAAGTCGTAATATTAACAGAAAAAATTCATAATGTTACAAGAAAAAAGTCGCAACATTACCAGAATAAAGTCGTAATATTACGAGAATAAAGTTGCAACATTACCAGAATAAAGTCGCAACATTACCAGAATAAAGTCGTAAATTACGAGAAAAAAATAATAATATTACCAGAATAAAGTCGTAATATTACGAGAATAAAGTTGCAACATTACCAGAATAAAGTCGTAATGTTACGAGAATAAAGTCGCAACATTACCAGAATAAAGTCGTAATATTACGAGAATAAAGTCGCAACATTACCAGAATAAAGTCGCAACATTACCAGAATAAAGTTGCAACATTACCAGAATAAAGTTGCAACATTACCAGAATAAAGTCGTAATATTACGAGAATAAAGTTGCAACATTACCAGAATAAAGTCGTAATATTACGAGAATAAAGTCGCAACATTACCAGAATAAAGTCGCAACATTACCAGAATAAAGTCGTAATATTACGAGAATAAAGTTGCAACATTACCAGAATAAAGTCGTAATATTACGAGAATAAAGTTGCAACATTACCAGAATAAAGTCGTAATATTACGAGAATAAAGTTGCAACATTACCAGAATAAAGTCGCAACATTACCAGAATAAAGTCGTAAATTACGAGAAAAAAATAATAATATTACGAGAATAAAGTCGCAACATTACCAAAATAAAGTCGTAATGTTACGAGAATAAAGTCGCAACATTACCAGAATAAAGTCGTAATATTACGAGAATAAAGTCGCAACATTACCAGAATAAAGTCGCAACATTACCAGAATAAAGTTGCAACATTACCAGAATAAAGTTGCAACATTACCAGAATAAAGTCGTAATATTACGAGAATAAAGTTGCAACATTACCAGAATAAAGTCGTAATATTACGAGAATAAAGTCGCAACATTACCAGAATAAAGTCGCAACATTACCAGAATAAAGTTGCAACATTACCAGAATAAAGTCGTAATATTACGAGAATAAAGTTGCAACATTACCAGAATAAAGTCGTAATATTACGAGAATAAAGTTGCAACATTACCAGAATAAAGTCGTAATATTACGAGAATAAAGTCGCAACATTACCAGAATAAAGTCGCAACATTACCAGAATAAAGTCGCAACTTTACCAGAATAAAGTCGCAACATTACCAGAATAAAGTCGTAATATTACGAGAATAAAGTCGCAACATTACCAGAATAAAGTTGTAATATTACGAGAAAAAAGTCGCAACTTTATCAGAGTAAAGTCGTAATATTATGAGAATAAAGTCTCAGTGGTAGAGTGGTTAGGAATCCAGAGGTTGTGAGTCGGAGCTCCACTGCCACTCTGGTCCCTGAGCCAGACCCTTAACCCCACGCTGCTCCCTGGGCGCCGCACAGTGGCAGCCTTCTGCTCCCCAGGGGAAAGGCTAAATGCAGAGGGTTCATTGCATTGCTCTGTGCTGCTGACGGTGGAATGACAATAAATCGCTGAGAAGGGGAAATATTACAAGAACAAAGTCGCAACATTTATACTCGTATTATTCCAACTTTATTATGTAAAAACGATATTCTCAATGTTACAACTTTACACACATCATTTTATGACTTTATTCTCAATATATTACGACTTTATTCTGATAATGTTGCGACTTTATTCTCATACTTAAAAAAAAGGAGAACCTCTAGCCTGGCGCTTATAACCTGTCGTGATCTGTTAGACCATAAAATCTGTAACAAAAAATAAAATAAATTTGATCAAAGTAATTAATGAAAAATAACTTTTTAATATTACATTTTTTTGTTTTTGAAACTTAGCTGAGAAGCAAGCGGCAGTTACCCTCAAAACTTTTTCGTTTTTCAAAGTTTCATTTCTGGATTCATTTTCTTTTCTTTTATTTTCATATTTGACACAATTATTTATTATTGTTAATATTATGATGCTATTATTTCAAAAATACCGTAACTCCTCTAATATTGGCCTGTATTCCATTAGCGGCCGGGTCTCTAATAACGGCCGGACTCGTTTACAGGCCGGGGCTATAATTAGAACCAACGATGTTCCTGGACAGTCCTCAACAACCTGTGATAGTAACACACCAGTACCACAGGGGGGCAGTGTTTGCTAACGAATCCAAGCCGTTAGCATGGGAAGTCCCATCCTTACACAGAGATCGTAGTGACCTTACACAATCGTTCTGATCTGAAAGCCACATGTGATCACTGGTAGGTCTGGTAACCAGGCATCGTTAAAATGACAGAATTTAATTGGCCTTCATTGTTCTGAATTTCCCTTGAAATATACGATACTGCTAGCCTGCTTCCACTTAGCCTGCCTTAAATAACATTTCCCTGTGATGGCAGAACAGTTTCCATTCATTTTTAAAAAAAATTTATTTTGCAAGTCAGTTTGCCCAAGATTCAATTCTGTGTCTTTTTTTTTTTTTTCGTATTGCCGTGCAGAAAAATTGCAGCTGCTGGAAGATGTCTGAATAATGTTCTGTATATCGCTATGGTAACTGTACTTTTCCAGTAAATGAAGCTAGTCAAGCTTCAAAGAGACTTAAAATCTGTTTTTTATTAATTCCACTGGTCGTCTGTTGGATCAAATAGAATAGAGGCCTGCCTCTAATTTTGGCCTCCTTCCAATAATGGCCTGGACCAAGATGCACCTGAGTGAAATAAAGGCCCTTCCTATATTAGAGGATTTACGGTAGTAGAAGATTCAGCGCTTATGTTTTGTTAAACTGAAAACTTTCAATAAATTTCATCAATAAATTTGATTGAATTTTGAAAACAAAGTTTGTTAGATTTTGTAGGAGGAGGGTTGACCTTTGACCTCTGAAAGATTTCATTAATATCTTTAAAAATAAAGTCCTAACTTTCTGCACAATGGTTTGACAACAGTTTAGTTATTTCGGGGCGGGGCCGACCTCCCTGCTGACCCGGTCCAAGTCTGCTTTACCAATGAAGCTCCTACAGAACCAGATTGGACCGGTCTCGCTGTCCGTGTCCTCCACAGGGTGTCTCGCTCCGAGGTTCCCAGAACCCTCCCCTCCAGCGGCGCCGTCCCGACTTCATCTGCCTACGACAAGGACACGCTGGTCTGCGACGGGTCCGAGTTCTGCTTTGAAGAGGTCAGAGCGGCAAAATACTTCCTGAAGGTCCGGGAGCAGAGGGAGAAGGAGCAGAGGGAGAAGGAGCAGAGAGAAAGCAGTAAGCCAGCTCCCTCACGGCAGAGACCCGGCCCGGTCCGATGCGTTCAGCTCACCTTCTCTGCTCTCCTTTCAGTGGAGAGGAGGCTGCAGGGGGAGGAGGAGGAGGCGGCCCAGAGGCTGAATCCTGCGTTGGACCGAGTCAACCAGGACCTGGAGGCTCGATCAGGACTCCCCAGCTGGTTTGTGGCCCAGCAGTCCCAGTCCTCTGCTGCCGCTCGCCCCCCTCCTTCAGAACCGGGCGGCCGGCGGCCCCTGGTTCTGGGAGCGGACCCCGGGCCCTGCTCCGCCCAGCAGCTCCACAGCGGCGAGCCTGGCGCCTTGTGTCTGTGAGTATCAGCATTTAATCCTGATCCGTTCTCCAGACGCCCTGTTAGTCCACGTCTGGATCGCCTTCCAACCTTCAGAGGTCAGGATGTTGCTAGGAAACCAGAGGATAAACAGATGTTCTGGAGGCTCGGTTACCGTGGTAACGAGCCTCCAGAACCTAGCCAATGGTTACAGGAGCCCTGGTCAGGAACTCTCCTAGGTTAACCCCCCCCTGCCGCCATCTTACCTTCTCCCCTCCTCCCACCAGGAGCAGCAGTCTGGTTTCGGAGCCGGAAGACAAACTGGACGGTGAGTCCGGCTGTTGGTTTCAGGCCCGGTTCTCTGCACCGCCCTCCTGGACCTTCTCTAACCTCCTCTCCTCCTCCCAGGGTCCCGTGGAGGAGCCGCTAACCTCTCCCACATCACCCCTAACTCCTCCCTAGGCTATGTTCAGGCCACGCCCACCAGGGTTCTGCCGTCGCCCACCGTTAACACCCAGGAGGCCCTAGGTGAGTTCGGCCTGCTCCATGCGGGCGGTCCGGGTTCTGTCCGGGTTCTGATGGTGATGCTTCCTGGTTGTCTTCCTCAGACGCCATCATGGACATGTTCCAGGCTCCCACACTCCTGGACGGCCCGTTCCAGGAAGCCTCCATGCTCCACGGCGCCGCTGAGACCCACCTGGACCCGTGCGGTAAACACGCTGCAGACGGCGTTCCGCTCAGAACCGAGTCCGCCAGAGTTTCTGATCCGCTTTCTGTTTTACAGCCGTCTCCTCGGTACCGAACCCCCCCGCCCACGCCTCCACCCCGTTCACCATCTTCCAGGACGAGGAGGACGCCAGGTAAAGCGGGACGTTCCTTTCTGGGCCTAACTGAGGTCCTGGATCAGAACCTTCTGACCCAAACGGTTCTGTGTCTCCTTCAGCGCCGCAGCGCCGCCTGAGAAGTCCAAACCCGTCAACGTTTTGGCCGACCTCAGCGCCCCCAAAGCAGACCGACCCAATGTGAGTAGAAAGCCTCGGCGGTTCTGATGGTTCTGATGGTTGTGCTCTGTGGTCTGACCCGGTGCCGTCCCCCAGGAGACCCCGTCAGAACTGGTCCCGGATGAGAGTACCACCTGGGGGGCCCGCTACAACTCGCTGCGGCAGCTGGACGCCTGTCCCAACAGCACCAGCGACTTCGCCCTGCTGGCCCAGTGTGTCTCCACGCCCTTCACACACAAGAGTCTGTTCAGCAGCAGCTTCCAGACCCAAGGTACCGACCCACCGGTCCTCGGCAGCAGAACCGCCCACCCCGGTTCTGACGGCTGGTTCTGTTTGTTTCCTGCAGAGAACAGCGGCTCCGCTGAGGAGAACTTCTACCTCCGACGTCAGACCAAAAAGCTCAGGTGATTCTTGGTTCTGCTCCTCCAGCTTTCGGGTCTAAAGATGCGGTTCTGAGCACAGAACCCTGCGGACCCCCATGACTCACCGGGGAAACCGGTTCTGGTTCTGGGGGAGGAGCTAACGGCAGGTTCTGTTTTCTCTCAGCCCCATCATAGAGCAAAGTCCGAGTGCCGACCCGGCCGACGCCAAGCCGCTGCCCCCCTCCTCCTCCAGACAGGGAACCATCATGGCCGACGGCTCCGCCTCCTCGTCCCTCAGCATAATGCAGCCTCCTGCCGTGCTCTCCTTCAGGGACCAGACGTCCTGCCCAGCCCAGTCGGACGGTTCCGGATGGGAGGTGTACCCCAGCCCTGAGCGGCGCCCTGAACCTGCCTCTCAGAGCCGGTCCTTTAAGATCCTGGAAGACCCGGAGCCGGTCAGTCCAGAACCGGTCCGGAACCGACCCTTTGACGTCCCCATGAGCCCAGAGTCCGCTCCCAGTGCCGCCTGGCTGGACATCAGGAGTCCTGAACCAGCGGCCGAGCCGGACCTGGACGCCTTCCTGAGCCCCCGTCCTCCCGCCTCAGCCGAACCCAGAACCCGGGATGTTCCCATGAGTCCGAACAGCTGTGCCGACGCCCCCCTGAGCCCGCGGGGGCCTGGAGTCCAGGACGAACCCAGAACCCGGGATGTTCCCATGAGTCCGGAACCTCCGACCAGCTGTGCCGACGCCCCCCTGAGCCCGCGGGGGCCTGGAGTCCAGGACGAACCCATGCTGAGTCCCGACAGAGGGCGAGGCGCCCAGGTCCGGCCCGTGTCCGATCCCTGGGATTCAGAACTGATCTTGGACCTGCTGGGCGGGCTGAACCCGCCTCTGACCTCTCACCCCCGCTGCATCAGCTGGCCCTGCAGGGTCCCCGCCATCGGACCCAAGATGACCCTCAGCGTGGGTAAGAACCCTCGCAGCTTCCTGTTTTCAGCTAAAGTTCCGATTTCAGAACCAGGAAAACCCTCCAGCATCAGTCAGTCCGACTCCTGGTATAGAAAAGGTCCAAGCCGCCATCTTGGAGAGGTCGCCGCCTCCGCTCAGTGTGTCTCGTTAGCCAGACCATAATAACTCATGTTCTACTTCGAGCTTCTTCCTCCACTTAGTGATAGAAACGTTATCATTTATTAACAAACCAAATAAATTCTCAATGATGGCGGCAGCAGCAATTCCTCCCCCTGATAACGGGATCTCAGGGAATTGCTGCTGGAAGCACTGATGGATCAGAACGCAGGCGCTTCTCGTCTGAACACACCTCCTTCATTCAGGCACGGCGTTGGCAGCATGATGTGGAGAACCTCCCTGAACCTCCAGGTTCATAGGTTAGCCTGGCCAGAGGCGAGCTGAAGATGTTGATACCTGCACCCAGGTGAGGGAACGAAGCTAGAGGCTCTCCACACCTTTCAGTTCCTTCCGTCGACCCGATCAGAAGGTTCGGGGGAGGGAAGTGACGCCGGCGCTCCTTGGCGCGGCGGCTCGGTTGGAGCGGAGCGCTGAGGGAAGGAAGCCATCATGTTCTGGATCAGCTGGGTTCCTCACAGCGTTCTCCTCTTCCTGCAGGGAACTCCTCCCTCAGGGTGGACGGCGTCCTCGGGAAGGGAGCCTTCGCCACGGTCTACCAAGCCACGGACCCCCGGACCTCAGAGAAGGTGGTGTTAAAGGTGAGCTGGGAAACGGACCAGAACCGGCTGCTCCGGTTTCTTCTTTTCTATCATCGTCTGAAGCCCTGCTGCTTCGCCATCAGCGCCGTTAAACGTGGCGAATTAGAAATGGAGGATGCTGGTGGAGATTCTCAGTCATCCAGGTCAATCATTCCTAAAAAGTTAAATCAATCCTCTGGACTTTGTTTCCAAGTTTGAAGACGTTTCTCTTCCATCCAGGAAGATTTTTCAATCCAAAATGTCAGAAATAGCGTTTAGTTCCAGGTTTTATAGAACAGACCAACAAAGTATAAAATAACGTGCTGAGGATGTTTAAGTCAGAGCGGTTTCTATCCTTCTGAGGACCAGAAAGGCCTCAGTTTCCACATGAATAAAGCTTCTCTCCAGCTCAGCCAGGCCAACAATTCCCCTTAACGACTGCCTCTTCAGAGGCATAGACCAGTATCGGGTACTGGAGGCCAATAACGACCTTAATTACAGGCTGTGTTGGTCTATTCCAGGGGTCTGCAACCTTTCATATCCAAAGAGCCGTTTCGCCCCACAGGTCCGACCAAGTAAAAGTTTTTTTTTTTTTTTTTTTTTATTATCTCGTGTAGGAAATTAGTTGCCATCTTAAAGAAAACAGTTTATGTATTTCTAGCTTTTCAAATAGCATAAAACCACATAAATTTCAAGCTAATTAAAAGAAAAAGTGACTCTAAAAACATATTTCTGGTTCTTTTAAAATCCTTCTTATCCATCTTATAAAAACCACTTAAGCTTTTAAGACCGGTATTTAGCTCATAGTACATTATTTAGCTCTTTATATAGATTTTAGCCACTATTAAGAGCTGCTGTAGAGGCTCCAAAGAGCCGCAGGCTGCAGACCTCTGGTCTATTCTATAAAACCTGGAACTCGATGCTAATCCTGACGATTTGAATTGAAAAATCTTCCTGGATGGAAGAGAAACGTCTTCAACCTTGGAAACAAAGTCCAGAGGATTGATTTTGGACTTATTAGAGTATATATATTTCAGTGTTTTTATTGTCATTCCACTGTCACCAGTACAGAGGCTGTGGGATTGGGGCCCCTCCCTCACCCAGTAGATCTGGTGGCCAAATTTCACATATTTGAATCTAAAACCTTAAAGAACTTCCTGGTATTCCTTCATTTAAGGCAGGTAGAGTGAGTCTGATGGGATTTGAACGCGCAACCTTCTGATCTGGATTCAGACGCGCTGCCGTTACGCCGCTGATTCTTTCAGAACCTCAGAAAGTTGATCTTGATCCGTGAATCCAGACCGCGTTCCAGTTCCAGGAACCAGTAGAACCAGTGGGACCCGCTGACATGTGGTCCTGCCTGCAGGTCCAGAAACCGTCCAATCCCTGGGAGTTTTACATCAACAGCTGCCTGGACGCGCGGCTGCAGCCCGCCGTCCGCCACCTGTTCAGCAGGATCCACTCTGCTCACCTCTTCCAGGACGGCAGCATGATGCTGGGGGAGCTGCACCAGTACGGCACCCTGCTGGTCTGTCTGCCCAGTTCGCCCACCCGTTTCCACGGCGACGGCTGCCGCTGGTCTGACCGCCTCTGCTTGCTCCTTCCAGAACGCCGTGAACATCTACAGAACCATGAGTGAGAAGGTCATGCCTCAGCCCCTGGTGCTGTACTTCAGCGTCTGCATCCTGCACACGGTGGAGCAGCTGCACGCCGCGGGCATCATCCACGCCGACATCAAGCCCGACAACTTCATGCTGGGAAAGAGGTGAGGCGCCGCGGCGTCTACTGGGCCGCCCGGGAGTCGGTCTGTAACAGGATGAACGCCGTCTCTTTCTGTCCCTCCAGGTTCCTGGACAGCAGCTGCTTCGACGCGGACGGCGTGGACCACGGCCTCGTCCTCATCGACCTCGGCCAGAGCATCGACATGCAGCTGTTCCCAGAAGGCACGGCGTTCACCGCGCGGTGTCTGACATCAGGCTTCCAGTGCACCGAGATGCTCAGCGGGAAACCGTGGACCTACCAGGTAACCGGCGCCGCCTGCTCGTCGCCATGGCGATCAGAGGACCTGAAAGCTGCAGGTCTCAGCAGGCTCCTCTGTGCCTCCATGTTTCCAGACGGATTACTTCGGCGTGGCGGGGACGGTCTACTGCATGCTGTTCGGGAGCTACATGCAGGTCAGCCATGATGGCGGCGTGTGGAAGACCAACGCCGTCTTTAGAAGGTAGGTCGTTGAACCTGGGGGTCCGGCCTGGTTCCTCACCCGCAGCCCGCTGACGTCTCCTCTCTGCAGGAACCCGCACAGCGACCTGTGGCTGGACTTCTTCCACACGCTGCTGAACGTGGCGGACTGCGCCCCCCTGCCCAGCCTGCGGGCGCTGCGCTGCAGGATGGCGTCCGCGCTGCAGCAGAACTATGGCAGCAAGCTGCAGATGCTGAAGAACCGGCTGGTGGTGAAGCTGCTGGAGGAGGCGCGCAGATAACCGCTGCGGCGCTACTTCCTGTCTGGACCCATTGATCCTGAAACCATCACAGCTCCAACTGGGAGACTCTCCTGGTTTTTATTCTTCCATTTATTTTACACCTGTTACATTTTTCTCCTGTTCGTAATAAAGTCTGACGCTGTGGATCGAGCTCAACGTTTCTAATTAAACTCGTCTGACGGAACACGGCATCAATCAGGCCGCAGCAGGGATGGTTTCCTGTTGCCATGGCATCCGATGTTCAAGCTCTAAACTCTGCAGGAATCTAACGTCCAGATTCGCCATCCTCCCTCGCCGCCCCGCCCACCTACGTCATACGGAGGACTTGTGCATCAGGTTAATCAATGCGAGCTGTTCCTCATCCGCCGCTCCTCCTCCTCCTCCACGCCACCGTCTGCGGACGTCTCCTCCTTCCTTCATCCTCAGAATATGCTTCGTATTCACGGAGCTTTCAGGTTATTTCCATCCATAAAGTTCAGCAGTGATCAAATCTAAACGGCGGGAGAAAAAACATGGAGGATAAAACGCTTTGATCTGGAAGTTCAGAGCTTTGATATCTATGGAGAAAATCTGCAGTATTGGTTTTATCAGCGTGATGCAGAGTCTGGGTCAGGATTTAGGTCGAGTTTAACCAATTAAAAACCATCAACCAGTAAAGATCCAGTTTTAATAATTATCTGTTACTTTAAACAGAATTTAACTCTGAAATAAAATAATCCATGATATACATTGAATTTTTTAAAGAAAAAAAAATATAAAAAAAGAATAAAACATTTTTCCATTTTAAAATCTAAAGGTTTTTGAAGTAGAAAAACAATCGTTCAGTTTGGTTTATAGATAATTTCCTGATTCCCATATTTTCTCAAACCCCTGAACTGATGGTTTGTTATTTCCTTTCTTTTTCTGCCTCTGGAGGGTTAGAGCAGCGCTGGGATGAACCAGAACCTGAAACAGAGACCAGAACCAATCCCTGGTTCTGGTCTCTGTTTCAGGTTCTGGTTCTGGTTCTGGTTTTACTTATTTTCAGACCAGAACCTTCTGGGTCCTGTTGGACCAGAACCTGGTGGGTCCTATTGGACCAGAACCTTCTAGGTCCTGTTGGACCAGAACCTGGTGGGTCCTATTGGACCAGAACCTTCTGGGTCCTGTTGACCAGAACCTGCTGGGTCCTGTTGACCAGAACCTGGTAGTTCCTATTGGACCAGAACCTTCTGAGTTCTGGTCCAACAGAACCTTCTGGGTCCTGTTGGACCAGAACCTGGTAGGTCCTGTTGGACCAGAACCTTCTAGGTCCTGTTGGACCAGAACCTGGTGGGTCCTATTGGACCAGAACCTTCTGGGTCCTGTTGACCAGAACCTGCTGGGTCCTGTTGACCAGAACCTGGTAGTTCCTATTGGACCAGAACCTTCTGAGTTCTGGTCCAACAGAACCTTCTGGGTCCTGTTGGACCAGAACCTGCTGGGTCCTGTTGACCAGAACCTGCTGGGTCCTGTTGACCAGAACCTGGTAGTTCCTATTGGACCAGAACCTTCTGAGTTCTGGTCCAACAGAACCTTCTGGGTCCTGTTGGACCAGAACCTGGTAGGTCCTGTTGGACCAGAACCTTCTAGGTCCTGTTGGACCAGAACCTGGTGGGTCCTATTGGACCAGAACCTTCTGGGTCCTGTTGACCAGAACCTGCTGGGTCCTGTTGACCAGAACCTGGTAGTTCCTATTGGACCAGAACCTTCTGAGTTCTGGTCCAACAGAACCTTCTGGGTCCTGTTGGACCAGAACCTGCTGGGTCCTGTTGACCAGAACCTGGTAGGTCCTATTGGACCAGAACCTTCTGGGTCCTGTTGACCAGAACCTGCTGGGTCCTGTTGACCAGAACCTGGTAGGTCCTATTGGACCAGAACCTTCTGAGTTCTGGTCCAACAGAACCTTCTGGGTCCTGTTGGACCAGAACCTGGTGGGTCCTATTGGACCAGAACCTTCTGGGTCCTGTTGACCAGAACCTTCTGAGTTCTGGTCCAACAGAACCTTCTGGGTCCTGTTGGACCAGAACCTGCTGGGTCCTGTTGGACCAGAACCTGGTGGGTCCTATTGGACCAGAACCTTCTGGGTCCTGTTGACCAGAACCTGGTGGGTCCTATTGGACCAGAACCTGGTGGGTCCTATTGGACCAGAACCTGGTGGGTCCTATTGGACCAGAACCTTCTGAGTTCTGGTCCAACAGAACCTTCTGGGTCCTGTTGGACCAGAACCTGCTGGGTCCTGTTGGACCAGAACCTGGTGGGTCCTATTGGACCAGAACCTTCTGGGTCCTGTTGACCAGAACCTGCTGGGTCCTGTTGACCAGAACCTTCTGGGTCCTGTTGACCAGAACCTGCTGGGTCCTGTTGACCAGAACCTTCTGAGTTGTGGTCCAACAGAACCTTCTGGGTCCTGTTGGACCAGAACCTGTCGGGTCCTGTTGGACCAGAACCTGCTGGGTCCTGTTGGACCAGAACCTGGTAGGTCCTTTTGGACCAGAACCTTCTGAGTTCTGGTCCAACAGAACCTTCTGGGTCCTGTTGGACCAGAACCTTCTGGGTCCTGTTGGACCAGAACCTGCTGGGTCCTGTTGGACCAGAACCTGTCGGCTCCTGTTGGACCAGAACCTGGTGGGTCCTGTTGGACCAGAACCTGGTAGGTCCTTTTGGACCAGAACCTTCTGAGTTCTGGTCCAACAGAACCTTCTGGGTCCTGTTGGACCAGAACCTGTCGGGTCCTGTTGGACCAGAACCTGCTGGGTCCTGTTGGACCAGAACCTGGTAGGTCCTTTTGGACCAGAACCTTCTGAGTTCTGGTCCAACAGAACCTTCTGGGTCCTGTTGGACCAGAACCAGAGCATAAGTACTCACACCCTTAACTGCTGCAATGTTTGCTGAACTCTTTCTGCTTCTGTTCTGGGTCCACCAGAACCAACCGGTCTCTGCACATTTGGTTCTGGTCCAAGGAGAGGATTCTATATGCTGAGGATCTGCAGACCGGACCTGGACCCTTCAGGAGGTCTGAGAGCAGAACTCAGAGGTTCTGGGAGCACAGCAGCTAGAACCGCTAAGAACCAGAACCTCCTGCCTTCATGATGACTTCAGGTCTCATTTCCACAGAAATGAAACTGTTTTAAATCAAACAATGAAAGAAACGACGGATCCGTTCCAGGTTCCGGTTGATCCACAGACTTTATTATTAAAGGCAGCAGCTGGACCGGTTCTGAAGGATCTGGGTTCGGATCCGTCTACAGGGAGAAGCTGTTAGAACCTGGTCCGGTTCTGGATGAACTGAAAGTTCCAGAAGCAGGAGGGAGGAAGGGGAAGGAGAAGATGGAGGCAGAGAGCGGGGTGGAGGTGCAGGGGAGCAGCAGGGAGGAGGTCAGGAGGTGCTGCTCCACCAGCCTCTGGGGGGCGCCACCATCTGGCAGCGCGCTCAGTCTGTACGGCGGCGCCGCCACCGCCCAGTGTGGGGGGAGGAGCCTCTGAGGCTGCAGGCGGTGGGAGGCGCAGGAGCTGAGGTGGGAGAGGAGGCGGCAGCGCAGCGGGTCAGAGGAGTCCAGGGCCTCCACGGTGCTCAGGTAGCAGGAAACCTCCGCCACGCACTCCCTGAAACCCACAGACAGGAAGTCCATGGCCAGAGCGCGGGCGTCCAGGGGACCTGAGGAGCAGAAGCAGCTGATGTCACTTCCTGCCTCATAGGGAGGCGGCTCCCAGTGACCAGGTGGTTACCTTTCCCTCCCGCCGCCTGCAGCATCTTCAGATGGTCCACGGTCATCTGGAGGAGCTCCGCCTTCTCCAGTTTAGCAGAACCCTGCAGGAAGCAGCCGAGAACGCCGTTAATCACCTGCTGTCCGCCATCTTTAGTCGCCTCTCAGGAATGAATGCTAAACTCATCCTTCATCTCCTGCATTGGTCCTGGTTCTGATCCAACCTGAGGACCTTCAGCAGCTCTCTGCTGTCCACCCCCCCCTCAGGTCAAAGCTTCCCCTGTTTTTATGGGGTCAGCATTGGTTCTGGTTTGGTCAGGAGTCTGTACCGGTTCTGGGTCGGTATTGGTCCCGGGTCGGTATTGGTCCGGGGTCGGTATTGGTCCCGGGTCGGTATCGGTTCTGGTTCGGTCCCGGGTCGGTATTGGTCCCGGGTCGGTATTGGTCCGGGGTCGGTATTGGTCCGGGGTCGGTATTGGTCCCGGGTCGGTATTGGTCCGGGGTCGGTATTGGTCCCGGGTCGGTATTGGTCCCGGGTCGGTATTGGTCCGGGGTCGGTATTGGTCCCGGGTCGGTATTGGTCCGGGGTCGGTATTGGTCCCGGGTCGGTATTGGTCCGGGGTCGGTATTGGTCCCGGGTCGGTATTGGTCCCGGGTCGGTATCGGTTCTGGTTCGGTCCCGGGTCGGTATTGGTCCGGGGTCGGTATTGGTCCGGGGTCGGTATTGGTCCCGGGTCGTTATCGGTTCTGGTTCGGTCCCGGGTCGGTATTGGTCCCGGGTCGGTATTGGTCCGGGGTCGGTATTGGTCCGGGGTCGGTATTGGTCCGGGGTCGGTATTGGTCCCGGGTCGGTATTGGTCCGGGGTCGGTATTGGTCCCGGGTCGGTATTGGTCCCGGGTCGGTATTGGTCCGGGGTCGGTATTGGTCCCGGGTCGGTATTGGTCCGGGGTCGGTATTGGTCCCGGGTCGGTATTGGTCCGGGGTCGGTATTGGTCCCGGGTCGGTATTGGTCCCGGGTCGGTAACGGTTCTGGTTCGGTCCCGGGTCGGTATTGGTCCGGGGTCGGTATTGGTCCGGGGTCGGTATTGGTCCCGGGTCGGTATTGGTCCCGGGTCGGTATTGGTCCGGGGTCGGTATTGGTCCCGGGTCGGTATTGGTCCGGGGTCGGTATTGGTCCCGGGTCGGTATTGGTCCGGGGTCGGTATTGGTCCCGGGTCGGTATTGGTCCGGGGTCGGTATTGGTCCCGGGTCGGTATTGGTCCCGGGTCGGTAACGGTTCTGGTTCGGTCCCGGGTCGGTATTGGTCCGGGGTCGGTATTGGTCCGGGGTCGGTATTGGTCCCGGGTCGTTATCGGTTCTGGTTCGGTCCCGGGTCGGTATTGGTCCCGGGTCGGTATTGGTCCGGGGTCGGTATTGGTCCGGGGTCTGTATTGGTCCCGGGTCGGTATTGGTCCGGGGTCGGTATTGGTCCCGGGTCGGTATTGGTCCGGGGTCGGTATTGGTCCCGGGTCGGTATTGGTCCGGGGTCGGTATTGGTCCCGGGTCGGTATTGGTCCCGGGTCGGTATTGGTCCGGGGTCGGTATTGGTCCCGGGTCGGTATTGGTCCCGGGTCGGTATCGGTTCTGGTTCGGTCCCGGGTCGGTATTGGTCCGGGGTCGGTATTGGTCCGGGGTCGGTATTGGTCCGGGGTCGGTATTGGTCCCGGGTCGGTATCGGTTCTGGTTCGGTCCCGGGTCGGTATTGGTCCCGGGTCGGTATTGGTCCCGGGTCGGTATTGGTCCGGGGTCGGTATTGGTCCCGGGTCGGTATTGGTCCCGGGTCGGTATTGGTCCCGGGTCGGTATTGGTCCCGGGTCGGTATTGGTCCCGGGTCGGTATTGGTCCCGGGTCGGTATTGGTCCGGGGTCGGTATACCAGTCCTGGGTCGGTCCCGGGTCGGTATCGGTTCTCGGTCGGTATCGGTTCTGGTTCGGTCCTGGTCTTGGTTCGGTCCTGGGTCGGTATCGGTTCTGGTTCGGTCCCGGGTCGGTATCGGTCCTGGGTCGGTATCGGTTCTGGTTCTGTCCCGGGTCGGTATCGGTTCTGGGTCGGTCCTGGTCTTGGTTCGGTCCCGGGTCGGTATCGGTCCTGGGTCGGTATCGGTTCTGGTTCTGTCCCGGGTCGGTATCGGTTCTGGGTCGGTCCTGGTCTTGGTTCGGTCCCGGGTCGGTATCGGTCCTGGGTCGGTATCGGTTCTGGTTCTGTCCCGGGTCGGTATCGGTTCTGGGTCGGTCCTGGTCTTGGTTCGGTCCCGGGTCGGTATTGGTCCTGGGTCGGTATTGGTCCGGGGTCGGTATTGGTCCCGGGTCGGTATTGGTCCGGGGTCGGTATTGGTCCCGGGTCGGTATTGGTCCTGGGTCGGTGTACCGGTCCTGGGTCGGTCCCGGTTTTAGTTTGGTCCCGGGTCGGTATCGGTTCTGGGTCGGTATCGGTTCTGGTTCGGTCCTGGTCTTGGTTCGGTCCCGGGTCGGTATCGGTTCTGGGTCGGTCCTGGTCTTGGTTCGGTCCCAGATCGGTATTGGTCCTGGGTCGGTGTACCGGTCCTGGGTCGGTCCCGGTTTTAGTTTGGTCCCGGGTCGGTATCGGTTCTGGGTCGGTATCGGTTCTGGTTCGGTCCTGGTCTTGGTTCGGTCCCGGGTCGGTATTGGTCCTGGGTCGGTATCGGTTCTGGTTCGGTCCCGGGTTGGTATCGGTTCTGGGTCGGTCCTGGTCTTGGTTCGGTCCCAGGTCGGTATTGGTCCTGGGTCGGTGTACCGGTCCTGGGTCGGTCCCGGTTTTAGTTTGGTCCCGGGTCGGTATCGGTTCTGGGTCGGTCCCGGTTCTGGGTCGGTCCTGGTCTTGATCCGGTCCAGAGTTGATGGGTTCTGATGATGCTGTTGATAATCCTTTGTTCTTTCTGGGATTCCTGAGATAATCTGAGATCAATAATCTGGAACCTTTTAGTCTGAGCCTTAAATTAAGCCCAGTCTTTATTCTCCATGAGGAGGAATAAATCCAGCAGGAAGGAGCAGGAGGTGCTGGGAGGAGCTCACCTGCTTCTCCCAGGCTGTAGGGAGGAGGAGGCGGAGCTCCATCCGGCTGCTGTTGATCCGATCTCGCCGCCTCTTCTCGATAATCTGGAACCGACAGGAAGAAGCTTCAGACCCCCCCTGCTCTGAGCTCATAGGCTCCACCTACCCCTCTGCGTCTCCTCCTCGCCGTCGCCTGAGGGCGCGTCGTTGGAGATCCACATCTGCTGGAGTGTCTGAGGAGACGGGGAGGGAGAAAACATCAGGTGGTCCATCTGTACGGTGGCCATTTTAGGACATATTCAGATCCCAGCCTGTGGTTCTGCTTCAGGCCTCAGAAATATCAACAATATTAGTTCCACTGTCAGCAGCACAGAGCAACCAAATGAACCCTCTGCATCTAACTCCTCCCCCTGGGGAGCAGTGGGCGGCCATTGTGCGGCGCCCGGGGAGCAGGGTGGGGTTAAAGGTCTTGCTCAGGGACCCAGAGTGGCAGGCTGTGGGAGCGGGACTCGAACTCACCAAGGCTCTCCAACGTTTTCTTTCAGTTTCCCTTTGATCCAAGTTTTTCTAGTTTTATTGGTTTATTTCCTATTTTCTGCGCTGGTTCCTCGTCTTTTTCTGGTTCCAACGTGAATTTTCCCATAAAGTTTTCTCTTTTTTTGGTTCCATTTATTTATGGATTTTTTGCCTCAGTTATTCAATCATATCTTCATCTCTCCTCTGACCTCCTGACCTCTCAACCAAACCCTGACACCCGTATGGAGAGAATTCTGCTCCACTATTGTTGCAGGAAAGTAAAAACATTTTATAAATGGAAATTTGAAAAAAATTCAACTCAGAAATGAAACTTTAAACAACAAGAGAAAAAATTCTAAAGGTAACTGAACTTTTTTTAAATTCACATTTATTTTAATGTATTTTTCAGATTTTATTTTTTAAACTTTGTTTTCCAGATTTTATATTTTCATTTTTACCTATTTCTGTTTAAATAGCTTTTATCAAATCAATTATTTATACGAATGTGGGCGGGGCTTATGGCAGCAATGATGGGCGGGGCTAAAAGTCTTCTGGACATCCTGTCAGGAACTGAACCAATGCGTTATGTTTGTGTCCGGCAACTTTTTGATGGAAAATACAGAATAAAAGAGAAATAAACTTTCAGAGTTCTGTTATATCTATTAACGATAAACTCTGATATCAAAGTTATTTTTTATTTTAGTCTTATTTCTATAACATCCATAAATTTTGCATTTATCAAACAAACAGCCTCCATCTGTTCAACTTGTTCAGCCGACGATGAAGAAATATTCTGAATAAATTTACCACAGATTCATTGATTGAGTTTATTAAAAAAATATATTTTTTAAATACAAAAATGTGAAAACTTCTTTTGAAAAAAAGACTAAAGAAAATATTGAAAATATAAAATCTGTAAATATGAAAAATAAAAATGATTTGAAAAAAAACAAAATCTGAAAAAAAAATACTAAAAGTTAGTCTAAAAATTTGTTTTTATTAATAAGTTTTTTAAAATTTGCAGATTTCCTTTTTTGAATATCTGTTTATAAAACCAAGAATGGAACAAAATTCTCTCCATAACAAAATCAAGCAGATATTTGAGTTCATCAAAGCTTTTTTTCTCTATAAAATCCTCTTCAAAGTTTATTGTGGGTCTCAGAGGAAGGAATGAATCCTCTTCCTCCAGCTGTTTCCAGCATGGCCGACCTTCCTGCTTTCACCTCAAAGAGAAAAATGTTTCTGTTTCTCTGCTAAAACCTAAAATCTGCTCTGCTGCTGATTTCACTGAAAAAAAAACCCACTGAGCTTTTTCCCTCCAGCCTGATGAGCTGAGAGCTGAGAATGTCCCTCAATGCTTTCCGTCCTCCAGCAGAATCAACCTCGTCTGCAATTTGAAGCGTTCCTATGGAGTCAGAAAGGGTCAAAATGTTTGTAAACTTATATCTTAGTTGAAACTGAAAGAATAAAAGTTGAAACAGAAAAATATAAGTTGACATTTAATGCCCAATTTTTACCTTATAATCTGAGAAACAAAAAAGCAAAAAAATAAATAAAATATTTTAATCTAAATTCTTCCCCTCAGCTTGAAAAAAATCCTAAACTGAATCTAGATTCAATTCTTATTTTTTTAAGTTTCCTTCTTTATAAGGTAAAAACATAAGGTAAAAATTTGACATTAAATATCCACTTCTATTTTTTCTGTTTCAACTTTTATTTTTTCAGTCTCAAAAAAGATTTAGAAATTTACAAACATTTTGAGCGCTTTCTGACTCCATACGTTTTACGCTCAACATGATCAGAGACACGAAAACCTTCAAAACTAGGAAACTTATTTATTTCGGTTCTAAATCCCTAAAATGCCCAAACTCTGAAGTTTAACTTGAGCAAACATCTAAAACTCTGAATAATTTACACATAAATTAATTAAAAAGAATAATTTGATCTGAATTTACAGGATTGGTTTCATAATAGTTTCTCTGACTAATAAACAGATTTCAGTCAAAGGGTCACTTTCTATGCTGGAGAATTATTTTTAATAATAAAATCCTAAAATTATGAGAATAAATTTATATTTTATAACAACTCTTCCCAGAATATGAGGAATGTGGAGCATCATGTGAAGTTATAGCATCAGTTTGACAAATCAGGAAATCTTTTAGCAGCATCAAACTGGTTGCTGATTGGTGGAGCTGCTCTGACGTCATCTGCTGGGCGGAGCTCCAAGCTTTCTATCTGAAACAGGCTGATGTTTGATGACTAAAAAATATCTCTAACTTGGCCCTGGTAATCCGTCATTTAATCTCTAATCCACAGAGAAAAAAGAAAATAAAAGTAGAGGAAGGATCAAAGCTGCTTTTTACAGTCGATCTGTTTACATTTTAAACTAATTTTACTGATTAATTTCTAAATATTCCTGATAAAAACATTTTGAACCTTGATTTAGATGAAACCTTTAATGCATCAGTAAATTAATGAACCTGCAGCGGAAATCTTTTTCATTTTAATAAATAATTAAATGCTTTTTTTGTTTGGTTAAATTAAAATCTATTTATATATATATTTGTTTTGTTTTGAAAGTTTTAGATAAACTGATCTGAGCTCCTGGTTCTTCTCACCCCGGATGAAACCTTTCCAAACCCAAACTCCCCGCAGAGCTGCTGTCCTCACAGGGCCGCTTCATGGGGAGGCTGCTGGGGGGGGGAGCCCCTCAGCAGCAGGAGGAGGAGGAGGAGGTTCCACTTGCTGCTCCTTCAGCTGATCCAAGGTCTGCAGGAAGAAGGTTCTCCAGAAGCAGGAAATGATGGAAATTCAGGAATCTTCTCTCTGGGATCCGTGGAGCCGCAGCAGGTGGCTGCATGTTCGGCTGCAGGCTGGATGATGGCCGCCCTGCCTCCTCCTCTTCCTCCTCCTCTTCCTCCTCATTCCCTGCTTTCCCACGGAGCCACGTGCACGCGCTGACTGTCAGCGGTCGCGGTTCTGGGTGGCCGCGCGCGCGTGCTAGAAGCGCGCGCTGGAATGAGGGTTGAAGGTGTGACCAGCAGGTTCTGCTCTGTCACTGCATCAGATGGAGGTTCAGGTTCTGCCTGCAGCTGATGCTCTGCTACTAGATGGGGGGAGGTTAGGACCCCTCCTAGTGAAGAATCGCTCCTCTTCCTCCTCTTCCTCTCTGCTTTTTAACTAACCAGAAAAGTTATGAACAGATTACATTTTTTTTTTCTAAAGAACAATCCATTAAATTTTGGTGAATCAGAAACGGATCCAGGAATTATTTAAAGTTGCAGAAAAATCAGATTTAAATGTCAAATCATTCTGGCTTCAATATAAAGGTTCTCTTTATCAAACCATAACGTCTCAGGCTGTCCTAATCTCAGGCTGTCCTAATCTCAGGCTGTCCTAATCTCAGACTGTCCTCGTCTCAGGCTGTCCTAATCTCAGACTATCCTAATCTCAGGCTGTCCTAATCTCAGGCTGTCCTAATCTCAGACTGTCCTCGTCTCAGGCTGTCCTAATCTCAGACTATCCTAATCTCAGGCTGTCCTAATCTCAGACTGTCCTCGTCTCAGGCTGTCCTAATCTCAGGCTGTCCTAATCTCAGGCTGTCCTAATCTCAGACTGTCCTCGTCTCAGGCTGTCCTAATCTCAGGCTGTCCTAATCTCAGGCTGTCCTAATCTCAGACTGTCCTCGTCTCAGGCTGTCCTAATCTCAGACTATCCTAATCTCAGGCTGTCCTAATCTCAGGCTGTCCTAATCTCAGACTGTCCTCGTCTCAGGCTGTCCTAATCTCAGACTGTCCTAATCTGAGGCTGTCCTAATCTCAGGCTGTCCTAATCTCAGACTCTCCTCGTCTCAGGCTGTCCTAATCTCAGACTATCCTAATCTCAGGCTGTCCTAATCTCAGACTATCCTAATCTCAGGCTGTCCTAATCTCAGACTGTCCTAATTTTAGGCTGTCCTAATCTCAGGCTGTCCTAATCTCAGACTGTCCTCGTCTCAGACTGTCCTAATCTCAGACTGTCCTAATCTCAGGCTGTCCTAATCTCAGACTGTCCTAATCTCAGGCTGTCCTCGTCTCAGATTGTCCTAATCTCAGACTATCCTAATCTCAGGCTGTCCTAATCTCAGACTGTCCTCGTCTCAGATTGTCCTAATCTCAGACTGTCCTAATCTCAGGCTGTCCTCGTCTCAGATTGTCCTAATCTCAGACTATCCTAATCTCAGGCTGTCCTAATCTCAGACTGTCCTCATCTCAGGCTGTCCTCATCTCAGACTGTCCTAATCTCAGACTGTCCTCGTCTCAGATTGTCCTAATCTCAGACTTTCCTAATCTCAGGCTGTCCTAATCTCAGACTGTCCTAATCTCAGACTGTCCTAATCTCAGTCTGTCCTCGTCTCAGATTATCCTAATCTCAGACTATCCTAATCTCAGGCTGTCCTAATCTCAGACTTTCCTAATCTCAGGCTGTCCTCATCTCAGACTGTCCTAATCTCAGACTGTCCTAATCTCAGTCTGTCCTCGTCTCAGATTATCCTAATCTCAGACTATCCTAATCTCAGGCTGTCCTAATCTCAGACTGTCCTCATCTCAGGCTGTCCTCATCTCAGACTGTCCTAATCTCAGACTGTCCTCGTCTCAGATTGTCCTAATCTCAGTCTGTCCTCGTCTCAGATTATCCTAATCTCAGACTATCCTAATCTCAGGCTGTCCTAATCTCAGACTGTCCTCATCTCAGGCTGTCCTCATCTCAGACTGTCCTAATCTCAGGCTGTCCTAATCTCAGGCTGTCCTAATCTCAGGCTGTCCTAATCTCAGACTGTCCTCATCTCAGGCTGTCCTCATCTCAGACTGTCCTAATCTCAGACTGTCCTAATCTCAGGCTGTCCTAATCTCAGACTGTCCTCATCTCAGGCTGTCCTCATCTCAGGCTGTCCTCATCTCAGACTGTCCTAGTCTCAGGCTGTCCTCGTCTCAGACTATCCTAATCTCAGGCTGTCCTAATCTCAGACTGTCCTCGTCTCAGATTGTCCTAATCTCAGACTGTCCTAATCTCAGGCTGTCCTCATCTCAGACTGTCCTAATCTCAGACTGTCCTCGTCTCAGGCTGTCCTCGTCTCAGATTCAGATTTTTTCTGATGTTCTGTCCTCGTGACTCCACTGGTTCGGTGAAGTGAACCAGTCCCTCCTGCATCAGAACCTCTGCACCGCTGCTGAGGACGGAGATGGCTTCTTCCTCTCTGAGTGGCCTTTCAGGAGATCTTTGAAGTAATCTGGCTTTGCTTATACCTCCAGCTGGTTCTGGATCTTCACAGCAGTTCGGTTTCTCTGGGTCTGGTTAACTAGAAGCTTCCTGATGTTTGTTGTGTTTGTGGACGCAGTGGAGACGTTTCTGACTGAAGTTCTGATCAGACTCATCCTTCAGGTTCTGAGGTCTGCAGAAGGTTTCATGTATGGAGGGGTGTGGGTGTGGGTGGGTGGGGAGGGGTTGAGACAGAGAGACTTTCCCACAGCCGCCGGCTCTGATCACTGAAACCCAATCGCCGTGTGAGACGGAGCAGCAGCGTCTGTCTTTTCACGCCTGCTGATCTCACGCTGGAGTAACCAGGATGTAATGAAGCAGCAACACAAACATGTCTGCAGACGCTGCGTTCCCAGGCTGCTGGGCCGAGAGGCTCCGCCCCCCCGTCCAGCTCTCTGACAGCGAGCTGAGGATCTGCATCCTGACTGAGGAGATGGGAGAAAGAAAACCGGCTCGGCCTTTACGGTCCTGACAGGAAATCAACCAAAAGTTTTACATCTTCACATTTCTCTCTTTTAGACACTTTATCACTTTTAGTGAATTTTACCATATATAAATACATACATACATATGTTAAAGGGGTGTGGTTAGTTAGCTTATCTTCAAAAGATTTCAGTTTTATGATTCAGATCTAAGATATAGAATTGAAATTGATATATATAATTATATGTTTCGTATATAGATATTTGAGGTACCCTATAAATAGATTTTCTATATGAATTTAGATAACATTTCAATATAAATTTAACCTTTTTATTCAGTTGCCCCTAAATGTTAGAAAAAAGAGCTGAATGTTAATAAATTGAATAATGTTAATAAATAAATTGAGCTAAATTACTGAATTTTAAAGCTCAGCCTGGTAATTAATCCCTTTTCTAATTAGCTAACTGGAAATTAGCTTCAATTAGCTAGCTGGAAATTAGCTTCAATTAGCTAGCTGGAAATTAGCTTCAATTAGCTAGCTGGAAATTAGCTTTAATTAGATAGCTGGAAATTAGCTTCAATTAGCTAGCTGGAAATTAGCTTCAATTAGCTAGCTGGAAATTAGCTTCAATTAGCTAGCTGGAAATTAGCTTTAATTAGCTAGCTGGAAATTAGCTTCAATTAGCTAGCTGGAAATTAGCTTCAATTAGCTAGCTGGAAATTAGCTTCAATTAGCTAGCTGGAAATTAGCTTCAATTTGCTAGCTGGAAATTAGCTTCAATTTGCTAGCTGGAAATCAGCTTCAATTAGCAAGCTGGAAATTAGCTTAAATTAGCTAGCTTCCCCCTCCTGGTCCGCCATCCGGCGTCTCAAGAGGGGGAAGCAGTGCAGCACCAACACTGTTTATAGTGGGGATGGTGTGCTGCTGACCTCGACTCGGGACGTTGTGGGTCGGTGGGCGGAATACTTCGAAGACCTCCTCAATCCCACCAACATGTCTTCCATTGAGGAAGCTGGGCCTGGGGACTCTGGGCTGGGCTCTCCAATCTCTGTGGGCGAGGTCGCCGAGGTGGTTAAAAAGCTCCTCGGTGGCAGGGCCCCGGGGGTGGATGAGATCCGCCCGAGGTTCCTCAAGGTCCTGGATGTTGTGGGGTTGTGTTGGCTGACACGACTCTTCAACATTGCATGGACATCGGGGGCAGTCCCCCTGGATTGGCAGACTGGGGTGGTGGTCCCCCTATTCAAAAAGGGGGACCGGAGGGTGTGCTTCAATTACAGGGGAGTCACACTCTTAAGCCTCCCCGGCAAGGTCTATTCGGGGGTGCTGGAGAGGAGGGTCCGTCGGATAGTCGAACCTCGGATTCAGGAAGAGCAGTGTGGTTTCCGTCCTGGTCGTGGAACGCTGGACCAGCTCTACACCCTCAGCAGGGTCCTGGAAGGTGCATGGGAGTTCGCCCAACCAGTCTACATGTGCTTTGTGGACTTGGAGAAGGCGTTCGACCGTGTCCCTCGGGGGGCCCTGTGGGGGGTTCTCCGGGAGTACGGGGTGCCGGGCCCTTTGATACGGGCTGTCAGGTCCCTGTATGACCGGTGTCAGAGTCTGGTCCGCATTGCCGGCAGTAAGTCAGGCTCATTTCCGGTGAGAGTTGGACTCCGCCAGGGCGGCCCTTTGTCACCGATTCTGTTCATTACCTTCATGGACAGAATTTCTAGGCGCAGCCAAGGTGTTGAGGGGATCCGTTTTTGGTGGCCTTAGGATTGCGTCTCTGCTTTTTGCAGATGATGTGGTCCTGTTGGCTTCATCAAGTCGTGATCTGCAGCTCTCGCTGGATCGGTTCGCAGCCGAGTGTGAAGCGGCCGGGATGAGGATCAGTGCCTCCAAATCCGAGGCCATGGTCTTGAGCCGGAAAAGGGTAGAGTGCCTTCTCCGGGTCAGGGGGGGTGTCCTGCCCCAAGTGGAGGAGTTTAAGTATCTTGGGATCTTGTTCACGAATGAGTGAAGAAGGGAGCGGGAGATCGACAGGCGGATTGGTGCAGCGTCTGCCGTGAAGCGGGCGCTGTACCGGTCCGTCGTGGTGAAGAGAGAGCTGAGTCAAAAAGCGAAGCTCTCGATTTACCGGTCGATCTACGTTCCTACCCTCATCTATGGTCATGAACTCTGGGTCATGACCGAAAGAACGAGATCGCGGATACAAGCGGCCGAAATGGGTTTCCTCCGTAGGGTGACTGGGCTCTCCCTTAGAGATAGGGTGAGAAGCTCGGTCATCCGGGAGGGACTCGGAGTAGAGCCACTGCTCCTCCACGTCGAGAGGAGCCAGTTGAGGTGGCTTGGGCATCTGTTTAGGATGCCTCCTGGACGCCTCCCTGGTGAGGTGTTCCGGGCACGTCCCACCGGGGGGAGGCCCAGGGGAAGACCCAGGACACGCTGGAGAGACTATGTTTCTCAGCTGGCCTGGGAACGCCTTGGGGTTCCTCCTGAAGAGCTGGAAGAAGTGGCTGGGGAGAGGGAAGTCTGGGCCTCCCTTCTTAAGCTGCTGCCCCAGCGACCCGACCCCGGATAAGCGGAGGAAGATGGATGGATGGATGGATAGCTAGCTGGAAATTAGCTTCAATTAGCTAGCTGGAAATTAGCTTCAATTAGCTAGCTGGAAATTAGCTTCAATTAGCTAGCTGGAAATGAGCTTCAGCTAAGGTTTGAATCCCTCCTGCCCTGCTGCACTCTGCCACATTTATAAAGCTAATACAAACTTTAATTCTCTAATCCTTTATTATTTTTGTATTTGAGTAAATATTATATATTCAAAAAACCAAAAAAAGCAGAACACTGAGTCCGATGTGGTTCTAGATCCAAACTACGTTGTGACTTGGAAATCGTTTTGTAGCCAGAGGCAGAGAGCCGCGTGTGCCGAGCTGTTCTGCTCGCCGCCTGACCGTCCGCACGGCGCCTCGGACCTCCTGCGGTCCGGACCGCCACAGGAAGTCCAGAATCCGAGGCCAGGATGGCCGCACAGATCCCAGAACATCATGGAGACGAGTCCAAACCTTTCAGAACTTTAATCACATGGACCCTGATGGTTAATCCTTCTGCAGAACTTCTCTGAGGTTCTGGTATCATCTGGATGATGGTGGAGGTGTTTATCTGCTTTGACCTCTGACCTTTCTGCTAAATTCAGGAAAATTCTGATCCAAGCTGCTGAAAGTCCAAACGGCACCAGAGGACGGTTCTGTTCTAGTGTTTGTCTGATTTCTGCTGCAGTCGGATCAGAACAACCTGCAGCTCCGTCTTCAGAGCGTTCGGACCTTCATCAGGATCCAATTTCAGGGAACGAACCAGAACTTCTCCGAACGGGTCGATTTTTTTCTCTTCCTTTGCTTGAATCTGTTGGATTTTCCTGTCAGAACCGATGACAGAACCAGGCGGAAACCCAGAGGGGGTCAGGATGACCGAACGGGTCGAATTCTGACCCAGAGTCATGGAAACAGAACCAGAATCAAGCTCTTGGTTTTCTGTTTTATTGAGTTTGGACTTCATCTGCTAGAACCTTTATCTAGGAAGCAGAGAATCCCAGAACCAGAGGTTCAGAACCAGGGGTCCAGAACCAGAGGTCCAGAACCAGGGGTCCAGAACCAGAGGTCCAGAACCAGGCTCAGAACCAGAGGACCAGAACCAGGCTCAGAACCAGAGGTTCAGAACCAGGCTCAGAACCAGAGGTCCAGAACCAGGCTCAGAACCAGAGGTCCAGAAGGGAATATTTCTGTTCCTCCACCTGGTTGTGCTGCTGGTCCTGATCCGGTTGGTCATAACATTCTCCCCGGACCCGGACCTGTTTCTGTGCCGCTCAGAGGAGGAGTTCCCAGCAGTCAGGAAGGTGAGGACGTGTTGGAGACCGAAGCTGTAATCTGCTCAGAACCAGAGTCCAGCTGGTTCAGCATCTCTTCCCTCATCTTCATGGCTCTTCTGGACCCTCAGCCTGTCAGCACTCGGACCGCCGCGGCAGGAAGGCGTCGCTGCACGCCGCGCCGCTGAGGACAGACACTCAGAGGCCCTTCAGCCTGAGATAAGCTGCTGCTGATGGAAAGCAGCCAGAACCACTGAACCGGGCCAGAACCATCAACACGTCAGCAGGTTTTCCAGCTCTCCATGAATCCACTTTATTAAAAGACTCGGATCCATCAACATGCAGGACGGAACCAGAACCAGAACCAGAACCAGAACCAGACAACATAAAAAGCTCCGGTCCTGAGATCAAAGAAATCTGGTTTTATGAAGACAAAAAAAAAAAAAAAAAATAGTTTTCTTAATGAAAAACAGAAACTTTATCTAAAAAAATTAGGTGTAAAGCATCTGATGAAGCAGATTTACCATCAGGCAATACTGGGCAGCTGCTGGGGGCCCCAAGTTCCTGGGGGCCCCAAAAAACTCTGTTTCCATGAATTGTTAATATAACTATTCCTTATTTCTGCACATTAATTATGTTTTTCTCTAAAATGCCATCAGAACGCTGATAATATTAAGTGTGTCTCAGCCCCCCCCCTTCAGTGTCCACCATATTGGATCAGTCCATTTGCTGCACATGTTCAGAAAGGTCCAAACAGACAGCAGCAAACCATTTAATATGAAACATGAAAGAATGAAATAAAATGGAGTCAAAGATAAAGACAGAGCGTCCTCCAGGGGACATCTGAACAGAATTCGCTCCGTCTTTGTCCACTGAGCTCCAAATATTCATCGCCTGCATCAGGGCCGGCGGGGGCCGCAGCTGTCTGCCAGATTGTGCGGCTGTGGCTGCAGTGACCTCATCCCCCTGCTGGGTTCTGATTATATCAACCAGATCTTCTCGGTTCTTCAGAACAGAGGCTCTGTCTCTACCCCATCCGTCCCAGAAGCACCATCCATCCGGCGCCATCGGCTCATTTCCAGATATCCATCCAGGTCGCCCTTGATTTTATTTTGGTAAAACGACCTAAATGATGTTTTTCTCTCCCCAAAAATAGTG